AAAATGGTTTTGGTAGCTGCCTGTTGCCTAATTGAGCGGCCAGCCAACTGGCCATGTGGCAACTGGGGAGTGTGAGAGCAGGCCAAAGATTAGCCACATTCAGCGGTGCCTTAGAACTTGGCTTAGGCAACTGCCCAGTTCCCAAAAGCCAGTCGAATTCTCAAAATGATGTATCAAAATCGCAGTGCCCGCTAAGTCAAGACCCAGTCTTGAGCTCTGCGTATCCGGGCTCGAGGCCCAGGATGTAGTCTTACCTAGAAAAATAGTCGTAGTTATGTTTAAAAATTAACTCAGTAGGGCAAACAATTATCAATCGATAATTATCGCTTATCGATCAATCGAAGCAGTTGCTTTACTATTCCAGTTTCTCTAAGATCGCAGCTTCGGTGAGTCGGTGCGATTCAAGCCAGTTGAATTGTCAAATTTATGTTTCTGAGGTCAACACTTAATAGTCGATAGATTTGGTATATCGATAAGTCGCTGAAGTAGTCACATCATTGCAGCTTCTGATGCAGGCATGTCAGTACAATTGTTACGATTTATCGAAGCAGGTACATATATCGATACATATCGACTATGGCGGTCGATCATGGCCGCAGCTAAGCTAACGCACAATTATTGCGGCAACAAGTCCAAAAACTGACTTAAGCAGAATCTGAAAGAACTCTCCGTTATAACCAGTCAAGCAATTAGTATAAGGCCTGTTCACGCTCGGCGCTAATCGATATATATATATACATATATATTTATCGATAAGTAAACTATATCAGTGGTTAGAGCGATTTACATGCCTTCACGGCACTTTAGATTTTCGCAGCTACTCAAAAGCGCATACCGATTGCAGAACATTGCAACTAGCTGTAATTTGAGGCAGTTGCTGTTGTTGCTGCTGCTGCTGCTGCTGCTGCTGGCATTCAGTCACGATCAAGTGGAGATATCGCTGTGGAAGTCGCGATGCGTTCAGTCGATGCAACTGTCGATAACCGTTAGCGATCATCCGTGTTATTGCCGCTGCTGGTTGCATGTGAACAAAACATGCCAAATCAAAGTGTGAGTGATCATTCAATTAAGCAGCACGCCAACCACGACAACAACAACAGCAACAATCGACAGCAGCAACAACAAGCTGACGACTGCAATCACCAAGCAACAACAACAGCAACAGCAACTGCAGTGCCATCATCAGTTAAATTATGTGATAATATGCCAACAATGAGTGTGCAACAGCAACAGCGACAGCAATCACAACAACAGCAGCAACTACAACAGCGATCAACAGCTACAGCAACAGCAACAGCAATCAACACGCAAAAGCCCAAAACAAACGTGTCACTGGCAGCAGGGCGGCGCAAGAGGTGCGCAATTGAGTATCGGGCCACATGACTAGCGTGAAAGATGCGGCCCCAACGGCAACAGCACGTAAAGGCCCGCAGCAACAGCAGCAGCAACAGCAACAGCAGCAGCAGCAACACCAAAATTGCTGTTGCCTTTTTTGGTTTTAGTTGCCGGCGGCTCAATCAGTTTGTCACCCGGGCGATATATAGAGTGATTAAGTGGCCCATGGATTGGATTCGAGTTGGCCAACTGGACACAAGGTGCCAGGCCGGGCCGGGCCGGGCCGCTGGCCGCTGGCCGCAGCCTAGAAACGTGCCGCAATGCAACAGCAGCAATTGCTGAATTTTGCATTAGTTGCACGCGGCCAATCATATACGAAAAATCTAGACAATATTTGACGCATAATTGCATTAGAGCTGCCTGCCAATCAATTCAATCAGCGCATAAAATCACAACAGCAACAACAGCAACAACAGCAACAACAGCAGCAGCAACTAGATCTGCCAGCAAGTGAGCGCCCGTCTTTTGTCTGGCTTGGCAAAGCAACAACAACTACAATCACAACTGAGAAGCAGCAGCAGCAACAGCAACAACAACTGCAACAACAACAGCAACTGTTGCTGCTGCGGCGGCTGCAGTTGCTGCTGATTTGTTGCTTGTTGTGTGACGACAACGACGACTGCGTGGCGTCCGTGTAATCGCACTTCATGTCTAATTAGACTTGTTTATGCCCATTTGGAAAACTGAAATGCAGCAGCAGCAGCAGCAGCAGCAGCAACAACAACAACAACAACTACATTGCTGTGGTGCATGCACATATTATTTTATTTTTTATGGCTATCTTCACGGTTATTTTCATTTAAATCGCAATTCAAACTCGGCAGCTTGTCGACTCGCCGTCGAATGACATTTTAAATGACAATTTTGCGCCTTTTGCAATTCATTTTATTTATTCAGTTTTTGTTTTTTTTTGTTTCCCGCCGCTGAACGCACCCCAGCAACAGTTGAGTTGCATGAATAAATGCGAAGCTCGTTGCGTGGCAGCAGGAGAGAAAGAGAAAGAGATGCATAAAAAGAAAATTGAATAAAATTGAATGTAATAATGCAAATTGTTTTATCAATAAATTCTAGACACATGCAAAACGCACAACTCGCAACGAGTAATTGTTGCTGCTGCTGCTGCTGCTGCTGCGGCAGCCTAAATGAATTTATGTGTCAATAAATTTAAAGCAAATTAGCAAACGACGTTTTAAGTAGACGACAACGAACAACGCGCTTTGCGCCAACGATTTATGGACTAGGCAGCGATTGCGACTCATTCAGCTCAGCTCAGCTCAGCTCAGTTCAGTTCAGCAGAGCTGAGCTCAGCGTCTCGGCGATTTGATTGATGAACGAGCGCACAGCTAGCCGCTTGCCGCTTGCCAATAAACTGTTGCCTTTTAAAGCCGGCCCAAATCGGCCATGTCAGAAGCAATTCGCTGGCAGTGAATGCGTTTGCGATTGCGATTGCGAGTGTTAGGCCGTGTGGAGTCGCCGCACGGCCAACTGCAGCGAGTGTCCAGTCCAAAATGGCGACGTCGGCAATTAATCAGCTTTTTTTTGGTTTTTTTTTTTTTGCCAGCCTTCGGCTTTTGGCCAGGCAATAAAAAGCCACAGTCACTGCCTTTAAGCGAATGCACACTGCATGAATTAATGGCTGCGTATTCGACTAGTATTTGCAGCATTCACATTAATTAAGTGGACACGTCAACGAGTCCAGTCAATTGACGAGTGCCAGCTAAGTGTAGCGTGAGAATCAATATAATTTAAATTCTATATGATTAGCACACTACTTGATTATTTACTCGTTGCCGCTCTACTCGTTGATGTTCTCGTTGTGGCTTATCTCGTTGCTTTTTGACTCGTTCTTGGTCTATACACTATTTTACTTATTACTCTACTCTACTCCTTTTGCTATTGGCTAATATTGTTCTACTAATAGATTATCTCATTGCTCTACTCGTTGTTAATCTATTGGTTGTTCTCATTATCGTTCTGCATTTTTCCTAATGCTGTTGGTTATTCTCTTAAATTAATAGATATACTCATTGCACTACTCGTTATTAATCTGCATGTAACTTCTCTACTCGTTGTAGTTTGATTCGTTATTGCGGCACTCGCTGTTGCTCTACTACTTTGTATTACTGACTTTGTTGTAGCTTTATTTTAATTGTTCTAGTAGGCGTTCAGATGTCACTTGCTTTTGTTCTACTCGCTGTTGCTTTACTCGTTAATATCCTAAACGTTGTGTCTTCACTGAAATACCTATTGCTACCTGGTAACGTTTTCATATATATAAAGGTTTAATCATTGTTCTATCCGTTGTCGCTCTTTATTGTTCTAGGTGCATGTTTCTCTTGCTTATAGGCTACTCGCTGTCGTGGCACTCGTTATAGCTTGACTGGAGGCATTCGTTATGCATTCAGTTATCCGTTTTCAGCTTTACTCGCTAAAGGGCTGCTCTCTAAAAGTCTACTCGTCGCCTCGTTGCTGATTTCTTTAGTTGTATTCAGCAAACTAGTTACACAATTATATTGCTGACAACAAGAGCAAGAACTGCAACCATCTTATTAGTCACACCTTTGTGCATGACACCACAAACGCCATTGGTGGTCTCTTTTAGAGAGGGCGTGCAAATCAAGTCCAGATACAAGATACAGTCAAAAGAGGGGCAACTAGCCAGCCGGTTGTTGTTTCTGTTGCTGTTGCTGCGGTTGTCTGTGGTGTTGTTGTTGTCGCCATCAACAGCAGCAGCAGCACCAGCAGCAGCAGCAGCAGCAACAGAGGCAGCCAGAGCCACGGCTAGAGCAACAGCCTAAAGTCTGAGTCTTGTTTTTTAAAATTACATGAACAAAATGGCGAAGTCCGTCGCCAGACGTAGCAGCAACAGCAGCAGCAGCCTGTGAGGTCCACACGCAGCAACAGCAACAAGAACCGAAAACAAGCTGAAGGCACAGACTATGCCCGGTCAGGTCTAGAGCTTTACGGCCTAGACTGAGCCTGACTGTCCTGCACCGCAGCACCCGCACCCTGGCTGGTTCGGCTTGGGCTCTGTTGTCGTTTAATCGAAGTCGATTCGACGAGTTATGGTAATTAAAAAGGTGTTCCTTCTTGCAACAGTCGCGAATGTCTTTGCTTGGGGGGTCTCGCGGTTCGACTGCGCTGCAGACAAATTCATATTTTATGACAAAACTTCGTTTCGCCGCCCGCCCGCTCTCTCTCTCTCTCTCTCTCTCTTTTGCCCCCAACTTGGGCTCGGTCTCTTTCGCTCCACAGGTCTGGTCTTGGCGGCTCGTGCACTTTGGTGGGTGGTCGCCTACAGGAATGTCGCCGACTTGCGACAGTCTACAGCCATTTGCAATGTCTTTGTGCAGCTTACCTGTCAGTGTGTGTGAGTGTGTGCGAGTGTGTGTGTGAGTATGTGTGTGTGCTTGCCTCTGTTTGGGCCTGTCAAGTTTTGTCAAGTTACTGCCGCCAAACGGAATACTTTATGCCGTTTTGTGTTTTTGTGTTTTTTTTTTTTTTTTGTGGTCTCATTGCATTTTCGCATGCTAAGCGAACTAATCTTATGCTGTATCCTTCTCTCTTCCACGCTCTATGCCCGTCTCTTTCTCCTGCTGCTGTAGACAATACTGAACTCAATGCATAAATATCAGCCGCGCTTTCATTTGGTGCGAGCCAACGATATCTTGAAGCTACCATATTCCACGTTTCGCACGTACGTGTTCAAGGAGACGGAGTTCATAGCTGTGACTGCATATCAAAACGAGAAGGTAAGCTATACTCAATATAGACGCCGATCGGCCATGAATGAGTGCCATCAAAATGAATATCGTTGTTTTGTTTTACAGATAACTCAGCTGAAGATTGACAACAATCCCTTTGCGAAGGGCTTTCGTGATACGGGTGCTGGCAAACGCGAAAAGAAGTGAGTATCACTAGAGTTAAGCAATTTCCTTGACCAAATATATACATTCCCCACATATCTGTATATATATTTATATAAAAGAGTTCGCTAATCCAGGCTCGACTAAGAAACTTACTTTTTGGGGCAATACTTTGGTCAAAGTTTTGCATCAACGGCGCCGGCTTTGAAAAAGTGACATCAAATGTTATTTATTTTCTTTTACGAGACGGGATAATTTCTTCCAGTATATAATTACTTAATATCGGTTATAGATTGAATGAAAATCAGCATAGGTCACAGTTTCAGAGGAAGGGTCCCATCCCAGTCATTTCCTAAAAGACTTTACTCTGCATTAGCTGAAATTGTTTTGCTAGAATTGGGCTAAATGGCTTTAATAGAAGATGGAAACAAATGATAATCAAATATTTAAACAATCCTTAAGGGTAATTTAGGGTTGAAAGTGATTTCTACCATGCGAATACTTCTTGGAGCATACTTGTTGCCAGGTTATCTGAGTCTAGCAACTGTTGTTGTCGAAGGATCTCCTTCAAGGCAAGAATTCCAAGCATTTCCAATGCGGGTAACAACATCATTTGTTCCGCGCCGGAGATTTGTTGCCCTTAAACGAAATAATCTCGCCATGGTCAACGGCGGAGTTATGTCGTCTCCGTGTTAGATAGTATAGTACTTGTACTAATTTTCGGTACTCTCTGGCCAGGTACACTTGAACCTGGATACGGCTTCACTTTAAGCAACTGGTCTATTAAATCAACTCTTTTCGCCTTCGGCCTGGCCTGGCTAAATAGATGTTTTTCTTTAATTCAGCTTTTCCTCTCCTCCTCTTTGATTCAATTAGCTTGCAGATGCGCTCATAAGATTGGCTGAATGAGGCATTAGAGGACAACGCAATCAGCTCTTAACTCTGTCCATCTGTCCATCTGCCCAACTGTCTGCCTGTCTGTTTGTCTGGACAGCTCCGAATTTGAATTGAACACGAAATCGAAACCCTCAATTCACAAAGTCGAAACTCTCACTCGCTCAAAGTACTTCATGCTGACCGCCTCAAAAAGCAAACTAATCAGCACTTTTAGCTGCACAGCGAGTGGGTTTTGCAGGGGCTTTGGTCATCGGGAATTGGCTTCTCTTTGGTATTTGTTGTCAGGCCAAAGCTCGTTTGTCTAGCTCGAGTCTGTGTGCTCATTTGACTCGCTTGTATCTGTATCTGCAGATTTATCTGCAGATGTATCTGTGCCTTGATTAGCAGGCATTAATTTTTGTCAAATCTGTGCGGAACTAATTAGCCTGCTGCTTGGCAAATTGCAACTCATACAAAGCGCCAAACGTCAAGGACTGACCGGGGTGGCATGGATCCGGAATTCCAGCACGAGTCCAAGTGGCCACAAAGTCAACATAATGATGAGCTCCGGCTGCGGCTGCTGTTTATCATCATGATGTTGATGACGAGCTGATAATGATGACTGGCACCTTTCTGGTCTGGCCCCCAACACTCCCCCCGACTGTATATATATATACATATATATATATAAAGCCAGCCACCAGCTGTGCGCATGTAATCCATATTGATGGATTGATTTCAATTTCCTGTTGGCCGAACGAGCACGCCTGCAGTGCAATTCAGCGTGGGCGCTGATCAAATGCTTTCTGACTTTTCGCAATTGTTTTTGAAGGATAACCCAAAAAGTCAACACACAACAGCAATGGGGGGATTTGACTAGAGCCTGGAGTGGTTCCGGTTTCCGGCCACATCAGCAGAGACGGCGGCGGAGGCGGAGGCGGACAGTCCTGTTTGAAATCTGTGACTTAGCATAATGATGAATGACATTTAATAGCTGGCTCAACGTTTTGTTAAACGTTACAAATCAATTTTCACTTTGTGTGTGCAACTGACAATGACAAGACGATGATGAGCTGCGGCGTATTTGGACAGGCACCGGGAACGACTTCATCAGTCTTCTGTTTGCTGCATTGACACAAACAATTTACTTGCGGCCCTTCCTTCCCGTTGAGTTGTTGTAAAACTGATTACAAGCGCCTTGATTGACATTAGCTGCCAAGCCAGCCCCCCCGCAGAGCCCAGCCCTGGCTGCCTAGCCCCAACCCCCAGCTCCCCCCCGCTGCAACCACTCCTAGCCGCGCTGTCTGTTTAGCTCTTGTCTAGTTTCCTTTTATGCGCAGCACCCATTAATATGCCCAAAACGGGTATAAACGTTTGCCAATCAATGTATGTATGTTATGTACGCAAACAAATCGACTGCCTCGTTCACATTAAGTATTTATGTTCTCGATCGAGACGCGAGACTGCGTCGTTTAGACCATGCCTGACCGCTAACTGCTTCCATTTTCTCAAAACCGATAAATATCGATTGCCAATTCTCCTATTTTGTGTAGATCTCACCAATGATACGAGTCAGATGCAACAAATTTTTATCGTTTGTCCATTCAACAAGTTGAGCATACACAAATCAAGACTTTTTTAGATTTTCCGCTCGTTTTTCCAATAATCAATATAAACCGATAGGCAATCAAATCCTTGTCTAAATAGCAGATATATTTAAAATGAGATTGCTCTTCATTCGCATACAGACATTAAGTTTATATTACTCTTTCGATTGCACTTATCGATTACTATCGATTTCGAAACTCATCTCGCATTCTGCATATTGCAAACATTAAAATCACATGTGTGCCTTTCTTCTGTTTTATGTTTAGATTCTCGAAGATTAGTCACAGTCAAAGTTAATTATAGTTTTTTCGATAACTGGATTGCCCGATAACAGAGAATTCATAGCTATCCATTGGCAAGCCACGACGTTTTAAATCAAATCTAAAAAGCCCAAAGATGGATTCAAGTTATTGTTGGCGCAGCTTTAGAAAATAATGTTATTATTCACTTAGCTGATTACAGGGTATCCTCGTGTTGGGCATTTCTAGCCGCGTGCGGTTTCTATTTGCCTTCGACTGTCAGCTGAAATCATGCATTGCCTGTTTTTGTCAGCCAACCAACAGAGCCGCCCCCCTCCGATTGCCCTACTGAAATTTGACTGGTCATTGCTGTGACAGCCATGTGTCAGGTTTTTGGTCTGTGCTTCGGTTTCGGTTTCGTTTGTGTTTTGTGTTTTGGGGTTGGGCTTGGGCTTGGAGCTTTCCTCCAAAGTTGAGGGCAATTATTAATGAAAAGCCTGCGCTCAAAAGTAGACTATGGCTTAATACCCTTGCAGAGTGTACTATAGAGGGAGACATCCAGTCAAATATATATATTCCGGATCCGGATCCAGCAAACAAGCAGCTCATCTGCCAATACGAAAATTTGCCCAAATCCATTTCTTTCATGCTCTCTTCATTCTCTCGGAGCCGGCCCGATCGGAATGCTATATAACAAATGCCTTTGGCGTGTATCAAGGTTCTTGTTTGAGAAAGCTATTTGCTTAACAAGAGGTCTTGACAAAGCCGGAATATGATTCACTTGACTTCGCCAAATGCTTCTAGCATCTTTATGCCATATGCCATATGCTATATAAGCTAAATGCTTTATGGAATAAAATTAAGTCTCTTTAAAGATATCTACACAATTCCGCTCGCCTATTTGCAAAGCTTTTTTAATCTGCGGCCTTCTCAGAATGGCCATTCATATATTCGCTTTTTATATAATTTTTCTTTTTATGATGATTATTTTTGGTGCTAAGGCGTCGTGTGTAGGAGTCGGAGGGTTGCAAGCCACTAAAGAGCTTAGCTAACTTTTTGCATAGACTTGCAATTAGCCTGAATGCCCAATGCCCGGGCTGGGGCCGGGGTCGGGGCCGGGGCCGGAGCCGGGGCCATAAAATCTGGGCAATTAGTGCGACTTAGGCAAACTCCAGACTTTTGTCAATTGGCAGCAACAACAACGAAAAAACAAAACACATTTTAAGCAGCTCAACGCGGCAGCAACTTTTTGTGGTTAACCCTTTTTTTTTTTGCAGCCAGCCAGCCAGCGACTGGGCTGCGCTTCATTAGCAGCTAACAGCAACAACAACAACAACTTGCCACAGCAGCAACAACAACAATGCCGTGGCGACATTTCCAGCATTCGCTCGTCCTGCGACTTGGGTGTCGCTGCACAGCAAGCGCCGCTAATTGGTGGCAACTATGCCACAGTCAACTGTCCCTCCCCCTCCCCCCCTCTCTCTCTCTCGCTCTTTCACCCCGGTCACACAACTGCGCAACTTCCGGCGGAATGATATTCATCTCGCCGGTCACATTCCCCCCGCTCGCAAACTCTTTGCAATTGCCTTTGCACTGGCCGCGGGCGCAACGGAAATCTAAAGTGAAAACAGTTTTAACAGCAGCAGCAGCAGCAATTGAAATTCCTTTTCATATTTATTTGCCAGCCAGTGTTGCGCCACACCCCCTGCCCCCCTGCGCCCCTGCCCCACCCAGCCGTGCCACATGCTGCTGCTGCCAAATAGCCGCAGGCGTTAGTTGACAATTGGCGCACTTTTTTATTTGCCTCATCTGCCTTCCCCCCCCCCCCCCTCCCTACTGCCTCTCTGCCCCTCTCTTCTCGTTTTCACTGCTCTCGCTCTGCATGCCTCTCTGTTAATTTGCCAATGTTGTGGTGGGCGTGGCTCGAGTGGGCGTGTGTGCGGACTGGTTTTAGCCGCACATTTAGATATAATTCAAAAATTACAGAGCAGCGCAATTTCAACAACTTTCGGCGCTCCATACTGCCGCCCACGCCCACGCTGCACAGCTGACAGAGGTGTGGGAGAGTGTGTGTGTGTGTGTGTGTGTGTGGGGGGGGGGGGGTGGTAGGTGAGTCGTTTTCAGCACAAAAGCTAAGATAAACGTCTTAGTTGCCTTTTGTGCGAGTGCTGAAATTTATGGTTGAATTACATGTGAGCCACAGGAGCGGTTTAGCATTAGACACGTCAATTGGGCGCACCTTTAGCCACGGGGGCGCTTAAAATGGGTATTTTTATTTGCACTTGCGCTGAATAACATTTTATAGTCCTTGTCTCTGGCGTAAGTGAAGCGGGATATCTAATGGAAATATCAATATGATCAATAACAAGACAATAATTAAGATAATAACTAAAGGCAAATTTAAGGTACATTTAATGGACATTTCTATGGAAATTTTTGTTGACACTTTAAGTACAATTTATTCGATTTAACTTATGGACATTTTTAGGTCAGTTTTAATAGAAATGCTTGTGAACATGTTAGGGAAATATTGGTGGAAAGTTTTGTAGATATTTTTAGGTTAATTTTAATGCATATTTTCGTGGTCATTTTCAGGCTATTTTATTAGATATTTTTGTACAATTTAAAATCATTTTAATGGAAATCATTTTGCTTTTCATGGCTTCCTAATCCCATTTTTCCCATACATCTAGTTGCAAGAGCAACAAAATATTGTTTGCATTTCTATTCAGCGCTTTATTTGCTGCTTAATTTTGGTAGAAATTGTAGGCAGTAATTTCGGCGCCCCATTTGAGGCGCCGTTTTTGTTTTTAGCTGTTGCCCTTTGTGGTTAAGTGGGTGGGCTCGTAAAGCTGCCTAGATTAACACAAATTGATTTGCTATTAAATTAGGTATATACACAACACACATACACACACACACACACACACGTACGCAGGTGATGCGAAGTACGTGGAAAAACAGTTAAGTGTAAAAGAAGACGCCTGTGGCGAAATTGCGAGCTCCTGTCTATGGGTGGTTCCGGTCTTTGTGGTTGCTGTGATAATGATACACACATGTCCGTGTGCCTGTGTGTGTGTGTGGCTGTGTGTGTGTGTGTGGCTGTGTGTGTGTGTGTGCTAGTAAATTGCCCAATTTGCGAGCACGGCCTGGCGCTGGCAGCGTTGCTTTGATGTGTGAACAACAACAAAAAAGCAAACGTACAAAATGCACGGACCTAGTTTGGCAGGGCTGCGTGGGGGGAGTGCCAGCGGCTTTGGATAGAGGAGGGGGGGGGGGGGGGGGGTGGTTTGAGGATTTCTACTGAAGCTTACGGTGTATTACGGCCAGTTCAGCCACTAAATTACACTAACGTGTTTTGAATTATTTTCCAATTTCATTGTCGGCCCAGACACAAACTGCCGCCTGTTTCCGCCTGCCATTGTTACATTTCAATTAAGGTTCCGGTTATACATATACATATATATCCCCCCCACCCACCGACCATCCGACCCGGATCAGCAGCCCCTTGCCATGCCAGCCATTCATATGCCGGCAGCGTCGTTTTATCATTTAGCAGATATTCCCAGCTAGCACAAATATTATGCCAGTGCCTCGAATAGCCAACAAAAAGGCTAATAGATGAAAAAATAAAATAGGAACGATGCCAAGAACGCGACACGCCCAAAAAGTGCCAGTGTTGCAAAATGTTCGCATTCGATTGCATTTCAGTTTATCCGATTTTCGGCTAATTCAATTTATATTGATACCAACAGAGTATTTTCTTTAGAGTACTTTTCGTACTTTTTGGAATTCTTTCTTGTTTTGTATTTCATTTTGCCTTTACAACTATGTTTTTCATATGTTATTTGAGATAGATGATATTATTATTGCACGTCTGTGATAGCCTACGATTAATCTGGGATTCGGACCTTTTTAAGGCTTGCAATAATACAAATTTGGGTTACAATGATTCACAGTTGGGCTTATGAGAAATAGAGATCAAAATTCTTCAAGAACTCCCCCTCCTGCTTTTCCCGCCAGTTAATATCTCATATAACATGGCTTAACCATGGCTAATGTGCATTTAGACAATTGGATGTTCTAATTTGTTTTGTTTTCTCGTACAACTGTTGTTACAGGCAGGCGCTGATGTCCAATCGAGGGTCCGACTCGGACAAACTGAATCCCACGCATGTGAGCAGCTCGCGAGCACCGCTCCATTTGGGGCATGCAGGTCGGCCGCCACATTTGCATCCGGCGCACGCCGCGGCGCTGCTCGATAATCAGCAGGACGATGAGGATAAGCTATTGGATGTGGTGGGCCCGCCGCAGAGTCCGCTGTTGCCGTTGAGCCACTCGCTGCAGCAGATGCACGCACACCAGCACTCGGGTAAGTTATCACATAGCAGTCACTGTTCACTGAACTGCGTTCAATTGATCTAAGCCACATGTCTAACTGGTGAAATTTCTTGTTTTCTTTTGTTCTCGTTCCATGCAATTCGTCACTCGCTACTCGTTACTCGCTACTCGTTACTCGTTACTCGCTACTCGTTACTCGTTACTCGTTACTCGCAACTCGTCACTCTCTATTCGCTACTCGTCATTCGCTATTCGCCACTCGTCTCTCGTCACTCGCCACTCGTCGGATTAGCAGCCCTGGCTGCCTGGTTCAATCACTTGGCTGGCGCTGGCGCCGGTGAGCATGCGGCAGCGGCCAATGCAGAGGAAGCACTGCGTCGCCGTCTGCAGGCGGACGATATGGAGCGCGATGGCAGCGACTCGAGCTGCTCGGAGAGCGTCGGCGGCAGCACCGGCGGTGCCTTTCGTCCCACCTCAACGGGCAGTCCCAAAGAGGGCGTTGGCGGTGGTGCAGCTGCTGCGGCGGCGGCGGCAGCGGCCGGTCTTAACGCGGCCGGCAGCTATCCGTCGCCCAATATATCTGTGGGACCACCAATACACCCGTCGCCGCATCTGTTGCCTTACCTCTATCCGCACGGACTCTATCCGCCGCCGCATCTGGGTCTGCTGCACAATCCGGCAGCGGCCGCTGCCATGAATCCCGCCGGCCTCAATCCGGGCCTGCTGTTCAATGCGCAGCTAGCGCTGGCTGCCCAGCATCCGGCGCTATTTGGGCACGCCTATGCGGCCGCCGGACATACGCCCGTCTCGCCGCTGCAGGGCCTGAAGAGCCATCGCTTCTCGCCGTACAGCTTGCCGGGCAGCCTGGGCTCGGCATTTGATGCGGTGACGCCCGGCTCGAATGCAAATCGCAGCGGCGGCAATGGCAGCGCCGATGCAGCAGCGCCGCCCAATCTGCTGCCCGCTGGCAGCGGCGGCCTGGGTCTGGACAACGGACCGCGCAGCCTGAGCTCCAGTCCGCGACCGCGCGCCTCCTCGCACTCGCCGCCAACGCGGCCCATATCAATGTCGCCGACAACGCCGCCATCGCTGCTGAAGCGGCAGGCGCAGCATTCGCCGTCGGAGCTCAAGAGCATGGAGAAGATGGTCAACGGCCTCGAGGTGCAGCACAATGGCAGCGCTGCGGCAGCGGCGGCAGCAGCAGCTGCGGCAGCGGCAGCGGCTGCCTCATTGCTATCGGAGGAAACGGCGCAACTGCATCACACCCAGGCGCATCACACACATCCGCACACACATCATACGCACGGACAGACGCACGGGCATCATGCGGCGGCGGCAACGGATCAGTGACAATTACAGGACGGCCGCTCCGATTGCGAGGAGGGCGGCCCCGATGACGACGACGATGATGAGCACGATCGCAGCTCTGTCATCGATCTGGATGTCGATGTCTGACCGCAAACGGTTCAGCTGCAGCAGCTTTAGCTCGCGCCCAACAGCAGCAGTTCGGGCCCAGCAATGGCCCGCGCTCCGGCCCTGGCCAGCGGCCTCAGTTAACCAACACTGCGCTTAAGTGTAAATAGCGCCAGCGATCTATATTAGGCATATTTGTAGCATATAGCATGTAGTACACACACACACCCACACACACACACACACACACACACACACACAGACACGCACCTAATACCCATAGAGCCTAGAGACGTTGCGGGTCGCTTTGCGTATAGCTGTAATCCGATATATACATATATATATATACATATATATATATATACGCTTTTTTTTTTGTGTGTAATCGATATAAGCAACGCCTAGCCTGTAAATTTTTTGTGATGCGCAGGACCCGCCAGCTTTGAAAACCTAGTTTAAAAAGAGAGAGAGAGAGAGAGAGAGAGAGAGAAAGAGGGAGAAACATAGTAGAAGAAAGCGAGGCGTGAGCGAGAGTGTGCGAGAGAGAGAGAGAGAGAGAGAGAGAGAGAGAGAGAGAGAGAGAGAGAGAGAGAGAGAGAGAGAGAGAGAGAGAGAGAGAGAGAGAGAGAGAGAGAGAGAGAGAGAGAGAGAGAGAGAGAGAGAGAGAGAGAGAGAGAGAGAGAGAGAGATAGTAGTTTTCGTTTCCTTAAACGTTGCCCAGTGCTCTAGCAATTAGTTCAAGCTTTTTGCATTATTCCCTCCCCCCACCACCCACAATTACTAGCACTTAAGCATAACAACTTTATATATATATGTATGTACCACACACACACACACACACATATTTCTTCATAGATGATATTCAAAGTGAGCGAGCGAGCGAGAGAGAGCAGCAAGTAAATCGCGCTCAGCGGCAGACAAATTTATATGTATATACATATACATACATATACATATACATTTATATCTACATATATGCATATATATTGATATATTGATATTGTACGATTGAAACAAATTAGCAACATCAAAGATGGCGCCTATATATATACACACACACACACATATAAACACATACACACACATATACATGTAAATCTAAAAACAATGTAACGTTTGACAAAAAGCAGCAAATGCGAATGGCATAAAGAACACAAGAATAACGCGAGAAAACAAAAAAAAAACAAAAAGAAAACAACAAAAAAAATAACAAAAAAAGTAAAGAAAAAGAAAAAGAAAAAGCAAAACAAAATAAGCATGCAAAGAGCGTAAATTTTTTTTCTTAGTCATAGGATGAAATTTTTTTTTAATAATCGTAAATTGAATTAAATAAGAAAAGAAAAAAAAAAACCCAAAAAAAAAAAATAAAAATAAAAAAATAAAATAAAAGAAAACATGAATAAAATTGCGTAAAAAGCGAAAGCATTAACTATATTTAAACTAATTTACGTAGTTCTTAAGTACCGTGTACCGTAACATCCAAACAAATGCATAATTTATATTAATTTGGAGCACACCAGCAACCCGAGAGCCCCCTTTCCCCCCCCCCCCCCCCCCTCCCCTCCACCATCCCTTCAGTGCCCGTCGAGTGGCTCAACGTCGTTCCCGTTCTGGCAACCAGCCCCCTCCCGCAGGGCAGCCCTCTGTTCTGGTTCCACAGCATTCACGAGCTTCTCCTCTTCTTCTTGTAGACACTTAGTAGCAGCGACACACACACACACACACACACACACACACACACACGTACGTACGTACACTCACACACACACTCAGCCAGTTATAGCACAGTTTCACGATATTGCATCCTATAATACAAGTTCTTATGTATTTTACCTTTTTATTTAATACATATTTTTTTTGAACTTTTTTTTTTTGCTAATTTTTAAGTTCTAAAACCAAAGAACAAGACACTTTTTTTTTGTATAATTATAATTCTTTCGAACAGACTCGGAATAGCTACTTAGTATTATTGTGTGTGTTTTATTTTAATCATATATGTACATCCTATATAGCATATATACATATATATATACATATATATATATACATATATTTATATACATATATTATATACACCAATATTTTTTTTTTTTTTTTTTTTGTAAATTAAGTGAATTATTAAAAGGCATTCAACGCATGTTCCTCGCATAAGTTTAGAGCGACAAAGACGCAGCAAACAGCAACTGCTTTAAGTTTCAAACACGACCCTCTAATTCCTGACCACACCCACTCCACAATTTCCAACCTAAAAACAATATGCACTCACACACACACACACACACACACACACAGAGACAGACACACAGACATATGAGCAAAATATTCGAAACAATTTACAAGAAGTGAAATAAAAAGCAAAAATAAATAATGAAATATAAAGAAAACAGCAGTTTGTAGCGCAGTTTGTTTTCCTTACCGATGTATGTATGCATGTATATATCCATATATATATATATATATATATATATATATGTGTGTGTGTGTATATGTGTATACCCTTATATATAATTGAATTTTTTTTGTGTTTGTTTAGCTGTTTTTTTGAATGAATTATACGCAAAAGCAATATTAATTATAGTTAATTAAATTTAAATGCAAACGAAAACACGACAAACAAAATAAAAACAAGAACAAACATTATAAATATATATATATATATATATATATATATGTTCACATATACATATATATTACTATATATATATATAGTATATATATATAAATATATTTAAATATATATATTATATATATAAATAAATATAAATTTAACGATGAAGCAACAACACCTCATGTCACTGCAATTATATTAAAATTAATTAAACAACAACAAAACAAAGGAAATTAAATAAAAATTATTGCTAAAAAAAAAACAACAAAAAACAAAAACAAAACAAATAAAAAATAAAAACAAAAAATACAAACAAAAAAATAACAACAACAACAACATACATGCAAGAAGATAAACGTGTTTCATTTTTATTACCATTATTAATTATTAACCTGAATATTTGGCTATCTGTTCCCGCCCGCCAGGCACCGTCAAATGCGAGGCATTAATCAAACAAACAGGACAAAGGATATTAAATGTATTATACAGAAATATTATACATAAACAAAAGCATTGGCAAATAATACGAAATGCTGAGTTTTTACAAAAATGAGCAGCATTATTGTTTTCAATGCCCCAGCGGAAACTGTTGTATCACTGCAAATAAATGGGTCTGCATGTTATATATACGCAAATAAAGCCGTGTAAATATCCAGTGTCATAATTAAGTGGCCCCAACTTAACTTTGTAGCGGTCCACCAACAAAGGCAAACACGGATGCAGATACAAATACAGATGCAGAGACAGATACAAAAAAAGATACAGATATGTACATATATATATATATATATACAGATACAGATCCAAAAATAGATACAGATATATATATGTATATAGATAGAGATACAGATATTGATGCAAAAGCAGATTCAGATATATATATATATACAGGTACAGATTCAGATACAAAAAGAGATACAGATACAGCTATAGATACAGCCAGAGATCTAAATACAGATACAGATACACAAGTAAGCAAATCAATTCGATGTGCAAAGAGAACTAACTCCGCCGACATATTCCCGACTCGGTACACTTAGATCGGCGGAGTTTAGATCGGCGAAGTTATGTCGCTTTAAAACAAAATAATCTCGCTAAGAGAAACGCCGAAATTATGTCGTCTTGACGAGATTAAGGCTTTGACTGGACACAACGATGCTTCAACGGATTCCTTAACACACCAGCAGGTTCCTAGCTGGTCTCTAGAAAAGGGCTCCAGGCTAATCAAAAGACCTTAAAGTAAATGCAAAAATATATTGTTTTTAAAATATTCTTATAGATTTCATGATTCCTCAACTGGTAAGGTATTAGAACTCATATATATTATACATATGTATATATATATGTATGTAATGCTAACCCTCTTCGAATTGATGCATTGCCCTGCCGGCTGCGGAAGGTGTAACATTTAATTTAATAAAGCCATAGTTTGTAATCTACGAGTGGAAGGGATGAGCCCGGCGTTCGCCCAGTTTTGGGAACAAGCCAATTTGGATTAAGCGCTGCGCCACTAACCCTCGGCTAAGCCAAGCGTTAAGCACTCGACTTACAGTTAAAGTTAACTAATAGAATTTGGCACGAATGCCAAAACTAACGAGTGCGAGGGTTTTGCGGATTAGCCCAGAGAGATATGGCGCGGAGCGCTGGCTAGACGATTTCCATCAGCGATAGAGCTAATTTTGGGTAATTGAAAGAGCTGACCCAAAGCTGTACAAATAGCTGGTTCCACATGAGTGGCGACGCATGAGGTTGTAAATTGTAACGCTTGACTAGGAAGGCGCAAAAGAGTTGCAAGTTGAAGTGCAGCAATAAAAGGCGGCCAAAAACCGCAGCCCCAACCCTAACCCTAACCCTGGCCCGTAGTCCGTAGTCTGTAGCTCGCAGTCCGTAACCCTTTTATTTATATAATTTCTTGAACCCACGCACAGGCCATCATGAAAGACTGTCAATAAGTTTGAGTGTTTTGGCCCAAAAAGTCAAATGCGAGCTGAATGCGCACCATAAATTACGTATTATTAATTGCTGCCGCCGCTGCCGTCACAAATGTCGCCAGTGGCACCACCGCCAGAGCCACAACTGCCACACACTCGCGATGCTCGCTGAAGGGTTATGGCAATGTTGACAACACTTGCCCGGTTCTCTCCCTCCTCCCCCCTCCCCCCACCCCCTTCGCGACTCTATCAAATACATTTGCCCTAGCTACGAGCTGGCAATTTGTACCATGATTAATGTGATTGTTTACCAAGCAGCTGGGGTAAGTCGTACAGAATGTTCAATGTACAAATGAGAAACTTAACTAACGAGTAAAACATAACGAGAAGACTCAACTAGGCTTTTAGTTGGCTTATAAATTGTGAAGTTTAGTGAATAATATGGCCTCTATTGCATAAATTAATATGTGTACAAATCTTGTGCATATATACATCGAAGTGTCAGCAAGAAAATTTGCTTCTCAGCACAATCATTTTATTAGAATTAACGAGTAGCAATACACAATACAACAATATGTCAACGAATCCATAAGCTTCAGGTCACATTTAATAGTATCAATATGTAACGAGTTGAATTTTCATATAATAAAAGAATCTTATGAAAACGTAACGAGTAAAAGTAACGAGCGGTAGCATACATAATAACATAAGCTAGTCCTATAAGTACATACCATGTAAAAGTAACGAGTGGGCGAAG